AAAATTATATTTTTCGATTATCCGGTTAAAATTTTCGTTGATAATATGGCTTTATAATGTTTTCGTTCACATATGTAATATTTTGCTTGGTAGGGAATACCAAAAGACGTTTATTACAACCCTTAATCGAAAACTGGCAAAATGAACATATCAGCTTTTCACAGCAGATTTATTGGTACCGCAGGTAATATATATAGTTACCAGTGGACATGTAAGTTTTAACCCTTGAAACCGATGATAGTCTAATTAATATTCAGTAACTTCAGTCAGTACCGCAAATAAAACACAACACTTCACCTTTACCAAGATGCTGTTTAAGTTTACAATCCGTACTTACACTGAGAAGCATACGACATCCATAAATACGAAACGAAGAGTTGCTGAAACAGGTGGTCCTTATAGTTACCACTTTGTTTTAAAGGGTTAAGGTGTGTAGGAAGAAAACATTAGTATGTACTATAAAGTCATAAAAATGCTTGAATAAAAATTTCCTTGAATATTTTACATCGTCTAGTAAAATAATAAAATAAAAAACGACGTTTCGGAGATGGGGATCTATCTCCGTCTTCAGGTACCTACTCTGTTGGGCCAAATAGATAGAGCTAATCCCTATCTCTGGACCTATGAAATAGTAGACGACGTTTCGGAGATGGGGCTCTATCTCCGTCTCTCAGATACCTACTATGTTGGGCCCAATAGATAGAGCTAATCCATATCTCCTAAACAATGTTTACTATTTTATTATTTTACTAGACGATGAAAAATATCCAAGGAAATTTTTATTCAAATAACTCATCATCGTCACGAACTTTTAGACTTGATATACATAAAAATGCTCTTATTGCTGAAACCAAGTCGGAATTTGTCGTTTTCCAAATTCAGCAATTTTTATATTGACCTGTTTAGAATAGTGACACAGAAGTACGATCGCCAGTGAAACTAAACCAGACTAGAGGAAGCGATATATTTATCGGAAACTGGTTCTTTCCGAGAAATGTCCCGTTAGACGTTGCAACATAATAAATACCCTTGGAATTCGGTTCTATATGTAAACGCGCGTGTGCATTAGTGTAAACAAATTCTAATAATTCTTACTAAGATTACGTCTTTAACAAAGATAAATTTTCCTAAACGAAAAATTATTTTTAAATAAAGAGAAGTACAAGACAACTTTTGAAAGTAATTTAGAACGTACCCCAAAGAAAACACAAGTTTCCATTACAAGGATCAACTGGTTAATGCTGTTTAGGGAAACAGAGGCTTTTTATTATGAGAATCATACGAAAGCAAGGGAAAAAAACTATATGGGCAAAACGCAAATTACAGATTTCTTTCATTGAATACAAGTGGTACAAAAACTTACCACTGGTCTTTATATGGTTAAAAATAAAGAATAATGAATTGGTATTTCATAATTCCATAGTACAGGTGTTCCGTCACTGTAATGCCATGACGTATCCAAGTGATGATGTGATAAATTTATGAGAACACGCCTTTGAAAAAAGCTTAGTATATTTTTTAATTATATAGCTAAACACAGAGGTGACGTACGTGATTAATTAAATGAAACAGCAAGATTCTAACGGTAAAGTATTGGAATTTATTTAGAAACGACTGACCTCGAATTTTCGGCCAAGTTCGTTTATACATAATTATTTTTTTTATTAGTTTTGCTGTTACGTTCAGTTATTAACACCAGTGTATCTGCGTAGAACCAGAAACTAAATAACATTTCATCATGGTTTTCCTCAGTCCCTTGTGGCAAATATCGGCGTTTTACCTTATATTATGGCACAACCGCTTCCTTCCATATCCATTCCAATTCAGTTTTCATCAATGATCCTACCATTCGATGTTATACAGCCTGAGATAAAGTCTCGATAAATAATAAAATATAAATTAATTAAATATAAGAAGTAAGCGTATGAACCGGATTCATCTGGATCAGCAAATGGGTTAATGGCAAGTCTTGTGAATAATTTTATAAACTTCCGTGTTCCATAAAACGCGGCAGTTCTACACCAACTGAGGGATTATCAGTTTTTCAAATAAGACACTGTTGCATGAAGTTTATTTTACATGCTTCTATGGGTATAAGCACTCCATCATTCGACGTATACGTGGAGTAGCGAAGTGGTTGAGCACACAACGATTTTTGGTTTCACATCTGTGTGTCTACATGTGCATGTGTGAATATATATGGGCCTACATAGGCAAACAGCCAATTGTACGTCAGTCCAACCCTGATTCACCCCCCAATCGAACCGTCGTAGAGAATAATGATGTCAGATAAATTGTTCTTCTTGGTAAAACATCATCGGAAAAAATGATCGAGTTTTATTTATAAAATTTGTCACGGGGTGTGAAAACATATACAACATTTGCGTCGCAGAAAAAAAATTGTTAGTTATAAACATGTTTCTTTTGGACACACAATTCTGTAAAAGATTTTTTTTTAAATTGGGCACGTGGGTGTCAAGAAATTATGCAATGATGCGGTTTTACCAACTGCGCGTCATGTGAAAAATGGTAAACATTACGATATTTCTCGTGGAGAGACAATACTGGGAAGACTATCGATTATTTTTTTTCTATTTCGAAAATTCGGTACAGGTACATCAAAAATCTTATACAAATAATATGGAATGTTCATCTTGCAAAGGCAGCCGCGGAAATGTAATTACATTTTAACTATTTTGAAAATTGGGTTCAGGGGTGTACAAGGGGTTTAATGCGAGGTAGACAAATGGTATGAATAAAATTTCCCACGATGTGAAGAGCTCCATTTATCAACTGTAAGATTTTAACGGTGTCTAATAAGCATATATAATTCGGACTACCACTGAATTTCAATGGTCACTGCTAGTACATAGAATATATTTATTTATTGATGTATTCTAAGTATATACATATATATATATATATATATATATATATATATATATATATACATAATATGTGTGCATGCATGAGTGAATGTGTTTATGTTTAATTTATAAAAATGCATAAATATATGACAGTGTACTTTCAGAAAAACTACACCACTTTTATAGTGTAAGAAAGTAACTAAAGGCAAAATAACAGAACGATAAAAATAAATGACCGTTCACAGCAGAAGAAGACATTGAAGGTTAAGAGAGAAAATAACGGAATGCGGATTAACTATTTGAAATAGCTTTAACTGTGCAGATAAAACAGTAACAATAATTTAAGAGACAGTTATAGTCAGCGGGTTAAAGTGGGGTTTGTTAGCTGTTCCTTAAATATCACGGCAAATGTAAAAGATATAAAAAATGTGAAATTGTACAATTTGTTGCAAAGAGTTAAATTAAATTAAAATGTTTCACGATAGTAACAAATAACTCATTTCATTTATCCAATATTACGCTGACCTTGAAATACCCCCTTAATTCTGGGCCACCCAAACGAAAACAAGTAACCCTTTCTTCTGTCACTCAATTCATATTGCAGTAAGATACACTGAACAAGATACAATTTTAAAACATAAAAAGACGAACCATGACTTTTGACAAAAAAAATTCTATACACCAGTAAATTAAGACACAAGGCTACGAATGTCACAATTTGACCTTTCGGATAAGCCAGATGGTCACATACGACATACCACTGTGAAGAAAAACCCAGTATGATACGGAAAAAGACAGGGAATGAATTGCTAAAAAACTGTGTACAGCGAAGTTGCTGGGTTATAGTAGGAACGCAGGAGGAATGTTATAAAAGCGGGCGCCAGTGGCTTTATAGTGATATTTGCGAGTTACAGAACAAGGGCCAGTGTAAATAAACACGTTACATCGCAAATATTACGTAATTACTTAAGTCAATTAAGATTTTTTTCACTTTAAAAGTTTCCTTTTATTACCTCTTGTTCACTATTCGTCAAGCTCCTGGTAGCTCAATCAGTGTATGACTACGGACTAGACCGCCGTGGTTCGATCCCCGGCAGGGACAAAGGCATTTCTTTGGCCTCTGTGTCCATACCATATCTGACGCCCACCCAGCGACTATCTAATTGGTACTGGGGCTAAAGCGAGGTTCGGACTAGGCACTGATCAAGTCCTTTTTAGCGCCACAAAACGAAAATATATGGGGGAGTGAAGTTATTAGGTGGAGATGAGCGGTAGCTTGACATTCCGACCGCTTTGCCCCTGAGAAATCGCCCCCACCCAACTCGACGTAGTAGCTAACAGAAAAATCTTTTACCCCTTCCGGGAATCGAAACTCGGTCGTCCTGCTTGTAAGCTCTGTGTAGAGTAAGCTAAAAAATAAGTATCTTCTTAGATCTATGCATTTATTTCCTGGAGCGATCGATACGACAGCCGGATGGTTAGATGTCACCGCAGCAAGAAAAGAATTTATATCTGACCCGCCTTGTGTTGTAGGATATCGCAAAATTTAAAATTATGTGAATAAATGTTTGTGCCCAATATATCATTTTCCTCTTTTCAAGGTCATCCTCAATTTTCTTTTGCGCGACAGCACCGAGATACTTTCTATCAAGCATTTTCTGAACGTTATAAACTATTCCGGGTTGCCTTACGTAAACCTTTTCAATTAAATTGAATCTTATACACGAGCAAACCCATGGTCGAGTGATGTATATAGTACATGTCATATGCCACGCCTTGTGTGTCGCTTTGACGGTAAACAGGAACTCGAAAGACGAGACTGGTATAATACATTGGGTGACCTTGACTTCCTTTCTAGCGCTTGCGCATGTTTGTCTCGTAGGAAAACGCCGCGCTTGCGTAGGTGAGCCTCTCGGGCAATCGTACATGCACGGACATTACTGATATGGACGAAAAGCCAGGCTCCGAAAAGTTACAGTAGATTTTTTAAAAGTCGCATTTTGTAACCTTTTAATAATAAAACTGTAACTTCAAATATCAAGCATCGGATAAAATATTATATAAATTGACTTTCTTACAAATTAATTACCAATAACTTAATACATGTTACTATTTTCTGAAATGTGGACTTACCCCCTCTTCCCAAAACGATGAGCAAAACGTTCTCGTTCTTCTTAGACTTCACCCTGCAAAAAAGAAAAAAATATTAAACCACTAAATAGACATAAGCATGTCTGATTTCGTATCCGTCGCCAAATTGCGTGCTTCAAGGGAACGTAAGAACTTCAATTCCCTTACCGAGTGGTTCTGTCACCAGCAGAGCATCGATACCTTAGCTACGCTGCGAGATCTGAGCCGTCTTCACTCGCAAGGGCTCCGCAGTTCGTGTTTCAACGTTGTACAATTTTGATGTGACCTTGAAGCATACAATTTGGTTACATAACTAGATGGCGGAACCCTGGTGAATTCGGACAGGCAGAATGATAAACTGTTGACAAAGTCGACACCAGCCTTGCAGATTTCAATTTGCTGCCACGTCAGATATATGGAAATTTTAAGAAACACCTACATTTTCACTCTCTGAAGCAAAATGGTTGCTCTATGTACCACCTAATTCAACATTCAATCCAATTTTTGTATCAGTATTCCAATAATGGAATAATCGATTTAAAAAGAAGTTTGGAAATTGATCTGACACCCACTGACACGATCTTCATATCGAGATTTATCAAAATCAGTATAATTCACTGTATGTTGCACAGTCCTTCCGGAAAAGCTAACACTCGCTTAGCTAGTCAACAAATTCCTCGCCTTTTATAAAATCTTAAGGCTCATTACCGTGTTCACAAGAACCAGATATTGGTCCTTATCAACAGTCAGGTAATCTCAATCCACATAAACCCTATTTCTTTACATAATATTAATGTTATCGTCCCATTCACACGTCTTGCAAGTGGCCTCGCCATTTCAGCTTCTCCAAGAAATAAATTTGCAAATTTTATTGATTCGATGCATGGTAGATGCTCAGACTTTTTCAGACTCCCAGATTTGATCATCCTAGTTATATTTTATGAATAAAAAAGATTATGTAGTTTCCTGTTCAAACATTCTCTTCGGCACCTTGTTCTTAAACACGTTTAATATTGTTATCTCAGGTTAAGAAACGAAGTATAAATCAAACCAATAGGAATAATTATAGTGAAAAAGTTTCTTATTAAAAAATAAGGTGGGGCACAATAAGAAACTACATAAATTAATCTGGACGTCTGTTCTTTCAAAATCCATTATAAAATTAGAAAAAAAACTGTCAGAAAGAGTATGTCATGTGAATAAAATTCAAACTATTTTTTATATGAGTTGAATATGTGTTGATGTATTTAATTCTGTCCCAGAAAGGAATCTGCCACGTGTACTATAAAAGATTTTATTCGCTGCATGATATAGTTTACATAGCAAATCGCATTGCTATATTTTCCAAATGTACGTAGGCGTGTACACTTTTAGCCCATAAAAGAAACATCTATTACTTGAGGAATGTTAGTGACGTCAGTACGTTAATTCTGGCGTTTCGGATGCCATTTCATTGCAAATCAAACGTGAAGGAAGCAAACACAGAGCGGCTTATGCTATTAACATAAATTCAAGTAGGATCTCGGTTGAAGACTGGTTTCATAACACTGAGATTCGCTGAACGTCCCGAAACACGAGGACTGCAGTAACCAAGAGACCCATGACCACAAGAAGTCAGTTTACCCAGTCTATACCTGACATACGAGGTGCGATCGGAAAGTTTCTAGACTGTGTCAATAGAGGGCGAACCGGATGTAGTACGAGCGTCTGCCGCTAGGGGGTGCGGCCTACATTCATAGTAAATCAGTGTGCCAGCCGGCATCATCGAATTAGCATTGGTTTCTTAGTTACGGGCGTTTTAGTAGTGCATTACACCGACCCTCCTGCGATTTCGGAATGGCGTGTGCATCAAATTTTGCCAAAGACTCGCCAAAACGGCTACGGAAACCTATGAAATGCTAAAGCAAGCATTTGGGGAGTCCGCAA